AGGAAAAGCCTTTCCACCCCTTTGTAATTCTTTTTCAAAATTGTCCTGGCTATTTGTGCATATTTATTCCTTTTAAAATGAATTTTCCAATCATTTTGTCAAATTCTAAGTAAACCCTGTTTATATATTAGCAAGACCCAAAATATAAAGCCTTAAAGAAAAATGATTAATTTTATTAAATAAAAAAATGTTTAAATATGACCAAATAAACCATACCATATACAATGTCAAATGACAAGACAGATTGTGAGAAAAGATATATAATAGAGTATTCAAAATATGTAAGGAACTCCCACAAACTATCATGTATATTTCCAAAATATATGGTAGTTTAATATCCTTAAATGAAAGGAATTATCTTAAACTAAAATTAAAAAAAAACAATTTCAACAACAAAAATAATGGGCAAAAGACACAAGAAGTAATTCACAATAGAGAAAAAACAGTCAATAAACACTTGAGTAGGTTTTAACTCCCTGAGTCATAAAAAATGAGTGTGTAAATAACAAGATACCACTAAATTATCAAATGTCAAACTTTTTAATAATAATAATGATAGAGTTGGCTAGGGAGCATAGAAATTGCTACTGAAAGTATAAATTAGTGTAACTTTTCTGGAGCACAATTTGGCACAATGCATTAAGTCCATAAAATGTGCACACCCTTTGGTCCAGCAGTTCTATTTCTCGTACTGAAAATAAATCATTCTAATATACACAAAGATTTAAGTATAAGAATGCTAATTCCTTGATATTTAAAAGAACAAAAAATCAGAAACAGCATAAATAGGGAATCAGTAAATAATTTAGGGTCTATTCCATATGGCAGAAAATTATAAAGTCACTAAAAATGGTGTAGAATAGTTGTCCTAATTGGATAGTGTTCATATATTGATAAAAGGTAAGTTTTAAAATATATATAAGTTGTTTAAAAAAATTCTATCCATTCATCTATAATCTGTTTGTCTAGAAAAGACAAAAAGTATATACACCAGTATGTTAAAAGTATAATGAGATTAAGAATTAATTTCATGTTCTTTGTGCTTTTCTGTATTTCCAACATGCCTACAATAATCGTGTATTTCTTCTGTAATCAGAAAAAAATTATTTTTAAAGAAGAACATTTCAATCTGTTATTGAAATCAGGGTATTTTCCACATAATTAAAATCTACTTCAGTTCATACTCAAAGACTATAAAGAGCAAAATTAAAGCATCTGTATATCTGAGATCAAAGATAAGCACTCAAAACAACACACACACCAGACCAAGCCACACCCATGATGGCAGCAGCTTTCTGTGGGTTTCCCCTTTCTCCATACCTGTTATGGTGTTGACAACTGTTCGGAGGATAGTGGGAGGCTTTATCAGTTCTTTGAGGATGTTTGATTCGGTAGCTAATGGAAACCCATTATCAAGCATCTCTTCCAATACTTCATAAACCACAACCACATTGTCTTTGATCACTGGCTCTGAACAGACTCCAAAATAATCCTGATGAAAATACAAAATGTGTATTTATCACTCAGATACTGTAATAAGTGATAGAATGTTCCTAGAGAATAAGGATCTAGTCCTGCCCATATGTGTTTACTCAATGTTTGGGATATTCTTCTACAATAAGGAAATGAAGTACAATCATAGTTCTCGTAGGTGAAAAAAAAAAGACTGGCTTATAGTACTAGTGTCATTACTAACTTCTTTTATAAACTAAAGTCAGTCATTTAACTTCTATGGGTTAGTTTCTTCAACTAGATATGTAGAATACAAAACTGAATCAAGACTATTATGTGTGCTTATGAACAAGAATTTGAAAGAACTATGATAATACTTAATATGACATAGATTAGACCTGAAAATCTTTTTAACCTTTACTGTGTATTTCTATCCTATAAAATAAAAGCCTAATATGCAAATCGATTGAACAGCAGAACAACCGGTTGGTGGGGGGTGAGGCCGGTGAGCGGGCGGCACCAGGCCAGCCAAGGCGGGTGCCAGCGGGCAGAGGGAGGGGACGGCAATTGGGGGACGGCAGCGACTGGTGGTGGCGGAGGAGCAATCGGGGGGCAGGGCCGGCTGCTCACCAGCCAGTACCGTCCACTGATCAGCCCGTGCATCACCTCCTGCAGAGGGAGGCTAGACTGCTGTCAGTTGGACATACCCCAAGGGCTCCTGGTCTGCAAGAGGGCCTAGGCCTGGCTGAGCGACCCCCCACGTGCACAAAACTAAGGGCCTCTGGTTCCTTAATAAGAATTTAGAGGAAAATAAAATAAAATGAGGGGGATGCACTATCACACCAGAAAATCACTTTAGATCATCCCTACTCTAAGATGCTAGGATTCTAAGAATGTTTTGTTCTTTTATTAACAAAGGCTGAACTTAGATACTAAATTATCTGGGGTGTGGAAAAGCTCTGGATTCCAAATCAGAAGACCTAGGTTACAATCTTAATTGTGACTTACTAGGTTACTAGATTAAGTCATACTAACCAATTTGGGTCTTGATTTCTTTTATAATCAGGATAATACCATTAGACACATAAGGATGTTGTAAGAACTAAGCATAATTGATTAAATGATAATATATGTAAAAGTGCTTTGTAAACTATAAAGCACTATGTAAAATTCAATGCACGATGATGAAATAATTTAGAAAGAAATGCTGCAGTCATTTCGTGTGCTCTTCTAGGAATGTCAGTGATGTCTTTTACTGGAACTAAGAGATAGTCATATAACCCTCCTTGAATTCATCCAAGGAAGGGAAACTGACCCCTTTTTGAGAAAGCCCATTCTATTCATGGACAGCTCAGATTATTAGAAAGTTCTATTGCTAAACTAAAATTTGCTTCCTAGATCTTCCTTAAAGAAATAGTTTATAGAATAGCCCCACAGTTAACTTGAAGACAACTACAGGATTTCATTTCAACATTTTTTCTTAGGGCCAAACTCCCTGTTTGATCTTTCTACTATTCATGCTATAGTATGGTTTCTAGATCATTTCACCATCTTGCCATGTCTTTGAATATGCTCTGGTTTTCCAATATTCTCCTCAAATTATGACATCCAAAATTGATCATGGACTCCAGATGTGATCTAAATCACATCAGATAATGTCAATTATCGAAGCCATTCCAATATCCAAGAACACTTAGGAATGTGTTTCTAAAACAAAAAGATTGCCTAAGCCAGTTTTGCTCAGTGGACAGAGCATCAGCCTGGGGACTGAAAGGTCCTGGGTTCGATTCTGGTCACATCTTTCCCTCCCTCTATCTTTCCTTATTTAATTTCCCAAATATATTTGACATTTAAGAGTATCCCTTAACTCTTCATCTCACTACCAAAAGGAAAATAAGAGATCATAATGAACAAAATTTAGTAGCCGAGTTAGGTTGGTTTCCTAAAAGCAGAATCTGAGATAAGGATTCTGGTACAAGTGATTTCCTAAGAGTGTTCTCAGGAAAAAATCTATAAGGAAGTGAGGAAAACAAGATTGGACAGGGGAAGAAACTAGGCAAAACTATGGTTTCTGGAGAAGCTTGACCTCAGCCTGATCCCATTTGGAGCTTTGAAGTGCATCATGGTTTATCCCACCCAGTGGCAAGGGAACTTGGGATCTAGGCTGCAATACCCTTGCTTCAGTTAGTCATTTTCTATGGGCAGCCTCCCAGGAGGACAGATATATGAAATCCTATGCAACTCTAGGGAAGGTACCTCTCATCTACCAAGGGCAGTCCTTGGGAGGAGGTGGGCAAGTAGAGATGGGACCTAGTGCAGCTGGGAGATGAGTGCCCTAGAAGGTTAAAGGGGACTTACATGAAACACCAATAGCATTTATTACAGTAGCTATTTGGGGTTCATTCATTGATTAATGTGTTTTTATTTTATCCAGTTATCCAATTTCTTTTCCTTCATGTTGGAAAACTACGTACATATACAAGAGAAAGATCCAAGTAAGTAAATTTTAGTCTTTTGAAAAGCACTCATTAAATATTGAATTGTCCTCATCAAGGGATGTAAACTCTGAAGATAGGAGAACACTAAATAATTTAAAAGATGCCCACCTGCTAGCGCTCTATCTACTGAGCCAAACTGGCTAGAGAGATAAACCCTTTTTATTTGTGGTCAGTTTTCTCTCTGTTGATGTGTGGTAATACCTTTATTATGTATTAAGTTTCTATGAATATTAGCATCTGTTTTAGGGAATTTTTATTTTGAGCTTTTGTACTGTAAATGATTTCTTGTCATTTGTTTTAAAATAAGAAAAAATTTCTTTTTCCCTCTTAAGTTCGAGGATATTTATCATTCTAAAAAAAAAAAGATGCCTACCTGTCTTGTCTATGTGACACCAAACAACTGTGAAATCAGTTCAGGTGGCTTTTTCCCTCTCTGATGGGTATCAACTAAATTGACCATTTAATCCAGTGGTTCTCAACCTGTGGGTCGCGACCCCTTTGGCGGTCAAACGACCCTTTCACGGGGGTCGCCTAAGACCATCCTGCATATCAGATATTTACATTACGATTCATAACAGTAGCAACATTACAGTTATGAAGTAGCAACGAAAATAATTTTATGGTTGGGTCACAACAGGAGGAACTGTATTTAAAGGGCCAGAAGGTTGAGAACCGCTGCTCTAGAGTTCCCTTGTTCCGCTTCTCAGGCATTCTCCTCTCTGGAGACTGATTTGGTTTCTCTCATGCTGCCTTCAGTTATTTTAGAGTTTATCCTAGTTTCTTATTTAGAAAACCTATTGTCAGATTGGCATAGACCAATGTTTTCAACCTGTGTTTCCTAGAATCTTGAAGATCCTTGGAGGTGGCTTGGGAGCCACTGCCAGAAGATTGGTGGGAGGGATGGAGGAGGATCTCCGAGAGATCTGGACACTTCCTCAACTCCTATTGCAACCGGGGCAGCTTCCCTTTGAACTCTCTTATAAAACTGGAATTCCTTGTGGGGACTGGTTTTAAAAGGGGCTCTGCTTCTTGTAAAAAATTATCCCGCCTAAGCTATTGTGCCAAAAATAACTGCAGGATTCAAATTAAAACCACTATAGAATCTAACTCTTGAAATGACAGTTAAGACTTCCTAAGACCCAAGGGAGTAAGCAAAAGTCAGCAGCTGTGCAGAATGAAGACGGACCAAAGGAGGTGGCCCACCTTGAGTCTGACAGCAGCAGAGCTCGGAGAGCAACCCAGTGGGTGTGCTTCCCAAGTCAGGCAGAGGAGCTCGCTCCTTCTCAGGTGATGTTCTTGCATTGTAGGCCGTGTTTTCTCTAGTAAGGTGAACGTTTTGACTGTTTCAGCCCAATCTTGTGCCTTAAAACCAACTGGACTCAGAGACAGGTCAGAGTCACTTGTGACAATACTACTTAGGCATTATCCTATTTTCTCCCTAAAATACAACTTCATTGCTTTATGAATTTCAACCTAACATCTGTCCGCCCTAGGAGGTTTTGCTTTAATGAAAGAAACCATGAATTGTATACACTATAAATGTTCTTATATTTGTAGTAGGAAAACCACATTTAAAATAAAATTTATTTTTATAAATTATTAAAAAAAAAAAAAAAAAGAAATGTTTATGGTTGTGCAGTCTCATATGGTAGCCATTAGCCAAGTATGACCAATGAGCACGTGAAATGTGGCTGGTCCAAATTGAGATGTTCTGTAAGTGTGAGATACACACCAGATTTTGAAGGCTTTGTATGAAAATGAGAATTTATAATATCTTCCCAATGATTTCATATTGATAAAGTAATATTGATTTAATTTTGATTACATTTAATACTGATATTTTGTATAGATGGGGTTAAGTAAAATACATTAACATTAATTTAACCTGTTTGCTTTTTAAAATGTGGTTACTAGAAAATGTAAATTTAGTATACAGCATGTGGCTCGCATTATATTTCTATGGGACAGCGCTGGTCCCCATGGAAGGGAAAGCTGCCATTGTGGTCTGATTCATTCAGTCAACCCCCGTTTTCTAAGTATTTGTTATGCACAAGACTCTGTGTTAGACGCCTTTTTTAAAAATCCCTCTCGGGGAGACCCCTGGTCCCTCAGGCTACAGCATCTCTACGGTACCAGTTCCCTGGATGAGGCGGCTGCACTGTATCCCAACTGTGTCCACTCCGTGAACTGGCCCAGGAGGTTACACCGCAGAGGCCTGTTGTGCCAAGTGCCCAGGCACCAGCTTACTCCCTCTGCCCGAGGACAACGGGAGGACGGGGAAGCCGAGAGGAGCTAGGACGTGGAGCAGAGACAGCTGCCAAAGTGGGTTAGTTTTGCGCTGGTCCCAGCCCAGCCGCTTGTGAGCCACAGACGACAGACACCGCTTGAGGCCGGATGGCAAAGGGGGTAGATTTAAGGTGTGTGCACGTTCGAGAGGCGAAAGGAGCGGACAGGTTGCACACTGCGTTGCCATGGCAACAGTATCCCCTCCTCCCTCAGCCAGCATCCCGGAGCGGGCCACCTTCCCCGCCCGGTACCCAGTCCCTTACCTCTCCCCGCAGCATCCCGCCGCGCGGAGGTTCAGTCTGGTGGCATCTCGTGACCCGGCCCCTGCCCCGCTCGCCCCG